TGTTTTTTTTTATATTGACATTCAGCAAACTTATAAATTCATTTATTAATTCTAATAGTTTATCTGTAAATTATTTTGGATTTTCTGCATACACAGTTTTGCAATCTGTAAGAAATGGGAGATTTTATGTCTTCATTTCCAATTGTTTTATTTTCATTTCTCTTTTTCTCTTCTTGCATTGGCTGTGAGCTATAGTCATTGTTGAATAATGGTGGCAGTGCATACTTGCCCCTTTTCCAGTCTCAAGAAGAAAGCTTTCAATATTTCACCATTGAGAATGATGTTTACTGTAGATTTTCTTGCAGATGCTCTTTATCAGATTAAGGAAGTTTTCATCTCTTCTTAGTTTGCTAAGATTTTAACATGAATGAATGTTGAACTTATCAAATACTTTTCTTCTTTCTATTGAGATAATCATATGATTTTTCTCCTTTATTCTGTTAATGTGTGAATGATATCAATTGATTTTTGAATGTTAAACCAACCTTGCATTCTTGGAATAAACTCACTTTGATCATGATACATTTTTTTAATGTACCATTCAGTTGGTTTGCTAATATTTAGTTTAGGATTTTTGCATCTATATATATGATGAGGTCAGTCAGTAATTTTACTTTCTTTCAGTGTCCTTATTGGGATTTAGTGTCAGGATTATGCTGGCCTCATAAAACAATTTGAGCAGTGATCCTGCCCCCCACCCTTTTCCTTATTCTCTAAGAGTAGTTATATAATATTGGTGTTATTTCATCCTTAAATTCTCAGTAGAATTTACCAGCAAGGCACCTGGAGCTGAAGTGTTTTATGTGGGAATATGCCTTTTTCCTCTGTTGCTTGTAAGATTCTTTGTGTTTGGTACTTGGCACTTTTACTTGATGTGCCTGAGTGTGATTTTCTTTATATTTATCTTCCTTAGGGTTGAGAGAACTTCTGGGATATTCAACTTGATGTTTTTCATTAGTTGTTTTTTTTTTTTAATTCAAAGGCATCTGCACAATGCTCTGTAATAGCTGCTGAGTAAACAAAAAAGCATCTTTGTCGGTAAAGCAGCCACCTTCCTCTAATCAGTGATAAGAAGGTTATGGGGAAATCCATGAACCTGAAAATGAATCTGCCTCTATGGTGCTCCACGAAGTAATTAATGCACAGAAAGAGCTTAGAACAGTGCTTGACGTGACTTAGGAGATGCTGTATACATTTCATGATTGTTGGTACTGCTTTTATTGTGGTATTCTCTTCTCCTTTGCCGTATTGACATGTTCCATTTTTTTTTTAATAATTTTATTTATTTATTTTTCCTCCAAAACCCCAGTAGATAGTTGTATGTCATAGTTGCACAGCCTTCTAGTTGCTGTATGTGGGATGCGGCCTCAGCATGGCCGGAGAAGCGGTGCGTCGGTGCGCACCCGGGATCCGAACCCGGGCCACCAACAGCGGAGCATGCGCATTTAACCGCTAAGCCATGGGCCAGCCCTGACATGTTCCATTTTTAAGGAAAGAGGAAATCTGAAATCCCTTGGTGTCAAGTGAACAAAAGCCGTGGCACCCTGTAACTATCAGGATGAACACTTAAAACCAAGATCAGAGTCGTAAACCATACATTTGATAAATTGAGCTTCGAAGTCCAAGATTTATACTTTCTCTGTCCTTTTCCTTCAAGATTTAATTACTTAATCTGCCATTTTTCCAGAGGTCTCTCTCACCTATGTCGCTAAATTACTTCTGAGTTCTCCCAGGTGGCAAATTAGCCATCTAGCTTGAGTACTAAGTGGATAATAGTGTCTCTTACTAACACCCTTGGAGATTGTTTTAGAGTTAAGTAATTTTGTTTTACAAGAATGGGCATGTTTTATTCAGAGAATTGGAGAGCATATTTTTCAGTGATAAATAGTTATGTTAGCATTGAATACAACAGAAATTTAAAATACCTTTGTTTTTGGTATATTAAGTACATAAAACTCTGGGAACAGAAGTTAGATGGCATATTATTTAAACTGTTAAATTGATATTAAAGAATTATTGTCATTTGGGTAGATATTTGGTATTATATTTATGTTTTTTAAAAGACTTCTTTTTTCTTTAGACCCATACTGAAATATTTATGAATGAAATGACATGATATCTGGTATTTGCTTCAAATAATATGGGAGGGCTATATGGGTCAGGGCACAGAAAAAACAAGATTGGCCAAGAGTTGATAATTGTTGAAGCTGGGGAATGAGGATTTAAGGTTTCGTAATACCAATCTGCCAACTTTTGCATATGTTTATGATTATCCCTAATAAAAAAAATTTTAAACATTGGGTAAAATATTAAATGAATTAGTGCCATCAAATCCCAAGTTGCTAGAAGAGGCTATCAACACAAATTTAATTACTGTAGTCTCAAGTTCCATGAAAGCAAAATTCATGGCTTAAGCTACTTTATATCCTGGACCCTTACATCCTTTACCTGTAATATTATAGAAGCGCAATATATATTTTGGGGATGAATTAATGATCTTTATTCTTGTTACTATAATAAATTTGCAGTGAATCATTTCCAGCAAATATCACATATCCATGTAAACTATAGAAGGTGGACTCTATAGATGAAGAAGATGAGTTGGAGGCTAAATTAAAACATTGACCTGGGAGTAAAAAATTCCGGCTCTTATCCCCTAAACTATGCTGCTCCCCAATAAACAAGTCACTTGAGATGGCCCAAGTGAGCTCCTTCTGTGTGGAATGAAAAGAAATTGTCTTTCACTTGCTGAAAGCTGAAGTTTTCTATTTTCATAGAAATATAGTCCAGACTCCGAAGAGGTTTCATGCTCTGGCCGCGTGCTCTGATCTCGGTTCATCTGTACAGCCTTATCTTTTTTTACTCACACTTTGTGGTCTAGTCTTATTACTTGTCTTTTCGGTCCCTCTAAGGCTGTCATCTTCAGTTAGGATGCACGGACCTTAGGGCAGTGGACATTTGATCCCCCTGGGATGTGGGAAAAACATGGGTATCCCTGCTGTAGGGTGCTCTACTCTCTTACCTCCACACCTTTGCCCATGTTGTATCTTCTGTCTGCTTGAAACACCTTCACCCTTGTTTGGCTAAGTCCTACTAATCTTAAGATCTCACTTGAAACCTCACTTCTTCCAAGAAGCCTCTTCTGAACCTGCTCCCAGTGTGAGGTCACCGAGCCTCCCCCATAGCCTCGCCTGATGCCCTGTACTCGCTCTGTCAGCACACTCACCACTTTGTATCATGGTTTCCTCTTTATTGATGGGCACTTGCAAAGCTTCAGTGCCTAACCCAGGACCTGGCTCAGAGTCGGGCTTGACAAATGTTAACAGAATGTTAAAAGAGGAAACATTGATTAATTTTTAAAATGTTTTATATGCTTCATTAAGCCAGTTTCCTATAACATCACACGTGGCTTTTGTCTATTTAAAAATCTTCTGAAGACTCCCATCTTGAGCTATAACCAAAAATAATTTATTGTAAAACATAATTTGGGTTATAATAACATTATCTTAACTTAAGTGTAATAATCTGAATGTAACTATAAGCAGACTCATCAAAAAAAGTAGAAAAAATTGCTTTAGGATAATATTTGAAAAACCTCTCTGGACCATGTTTTGTACAGTAGTAGCATAAAAATTATGTTAGCAATTTACACTTTTAATAGGTCGGTACTAATAAGAAAGTTTATCCAAGGTCAAACTCTTTCATTTCATTACTGGTCTGGCTCATGTCTTTTACTGTGTTAAATATATTGTTCCCACGCATCCTTGAGCCTGTAGCTTCTTAAGTACTTTTCCTCAAGTCTGTGCCAGGTAGACAGCAAAGTTAAAGAAAAGTTTCTATGAGTTTAGAGGTTTTCTAAACTGCTCTGTAGGGTGATGTTTTAATTTTCCCAGACCGTGTGGCTTTTCCCCATTCCTGCCTCAGTCCTCACAGCGGGCTTTTCTCTTTAGGGTCGACAGGTTTTGCGTTCTCAGAATGTCAAGAAATGGTTTAGCACTGTTTGCCATTCGGAGTTTTCAGTACCTCCCTCTGCTGTGTTAGGATGGGCCAAAAGAGATTATGATGCCATGAATATAGAGTTCTTGGTTACCACTTATGGAAAACATGCGAGGTATTCCTTATTTCAAAGTAGTTTATTTTCTAATTTAGTTGTGTCCACCCTTTGTGCTTTAGTCAAGGACTGTAATCTTTAATGCTAGCCGTATCTAGAATCCCATACCAAAGGCTAAATATAGCAGTCCAGTATATTCTTCTCCTCTCTTCCAATCTAACTCTGTGGTCCTTTGAAGAAATTCACGTGATATGTTACCTCAGTAATTTACAGTACTCAGTAGTAGCCAGATCTCATAAGGATTTTTTTTTTTACACTGTTGTGATTCGTTTAATTTTCTTACTTGTTCCTGTGGTTCTGATGACATAGGGACTATTATATGTTCTTTACATGGAATAGTCAGGAAAAATAGAGTTATTTTTTGGCAATGATTTCTAAATTACTAGATATTGTATATATATATATATATATACTTTCAAAATATCTTCTTTGTCCTTTTAAGGTAATTAAATGTGCCCTAAGTTTAGTGCTGAAGTACTCTGTGGTAAGGTTGAAAGATCTGAAACACCTTTTCATCTTAGCATTAGCTGGCACATTGTCTGAATGCTGTCTTCTCACCTGCGGTTTCCAGAAGGATGGATGATTATTTGCTTCATTGGTGAGCCTGTCACCCTTGGGGCTTAGGTCCAAATAAGTTCGCAAATATAATGATAGAGAATACTTAAACACGCTATAAATCATCTTAGAAACATTATGTAGAGATTAATTATTTTGGTACTGCCTAATGTAGGTACCGAAGTAATTACCATTTATTATGTTAGGGATCATGAAAAATGACAGATAATCCTTTACTGTAGTTATGAATAAGCAATACGGTATGAAAAAAGAAAAGACGAGGAACTTAATAACCAGTGCTTTTTTTTCCTCTCCCATATGCCCTTTCACACAGGTACAACTTGGCCAAGTAGAAATCAAATGCCCTATCACAGAATGTTTTGAATTCCTGGAGGAAACAATGGTTATCTATAACTTAACGCATGAAGACTCCATCAAATATAAGTACTTCTTGGAACTTGGCCGTATTGATTCCAGCACCAAGCCGTGTCCTCAGTGCAAGCACTTTACAACCTTCAAGAAAAAAGGACATATTCCCACCCCTTCCAGATCAGAAAACAAATACAAAGTAAGCATGTTCACCAGAGTTGTGGGTTAGATGTCACATGATGGGAGCAGCCAAATTAGGCCAACTTGTGGTGGGCATTAAGTGGGCTTCCTTCTCTTACTGGAGTCTAAGGTGAGTATATATTGGCTACGATTCTGAAAATGCACGGTTTGGGGAGGCTGAGGTTGTAAGAGAGCACTCTCGAGGATTTAATTAAAGTTTTTCTTTGACTTTAACATGTTTTTTTTTTTTTTTTTGAGGAAGATCAGCCCTGAGCTAACATGCGTGCTAATCCTCCTCTTTTTGCTGAGGAAGACTGGCTCTGAGCTAACATCTATTGCCAATCTTCCTCCTTTTTTTCCCCCAAAGCCCCAGTAGATAGCTGTATGTCATAGTTGCACATCCTTCTAGTTGCTGTATGTGGGACACGGCCTCAGCATGGCCGGAGAAGCGGTGCGTCGGGACGCGCCAGGGATCCGAACCCGGGCCGCCAGTAGCGCAGCGCGCGCACTTAACCGCTAAGCCATCGGGCCGGCCCCGACTTTAACATGTTTAAAATTCATCCAGTAGCCTAATTGAAAGGCTGATCTTTAAAGTAATTGTCATTACTATTACTAAATATTTAATAAATATTAAGACTTTTTTTTTAATTTTAGTATAAGCTTGACTTTTTTCGGTGGACCCAATGTGAAGCTCCTCTGGCTCTGTCTATAATAAGTGAAAGTAGTATAAAATACTATTCATTCATTTATTCAGCTAAAACAAAATGTCACTATATGCCAGGCAGTGTGCTAGGTTGGGGGCATATAAATGTGACATAGTCCTTGCTCCAAAAATGTCTAATGAGAGTGAGAGAGACGTATGTTCTAAAATGACAGTTCAATATGATTAGTCAAAAAACAAAAATATGAAACCCAATACACTTGTGCTTTGAGAACATGGACAGAGGAGTTGGGGCTGGGGTGTCAGAAAAGGCTTCATAGAGAAGATGCAGTTCTCCAGGCAGAACAGATCAACAGTGGAGAGCATCGCAGAGCAAGGAATGAGTAAGTGCTCTGGTCCAGAGGCTGAGGCAGGCATGTTGGAAAGAAGTGCTTGGTAGAGCTGGTTGGGAGATAGTAGGGGAGAGGCAGCTGGTCAGGTATTGAAGAGCAGATCATGTTGAGTCTTTTACGCTGTGCTCAGAAGTTTGAATGTAATTCTGTAGGCGTTACAGAAAGATCATTCTGGCAGCATTAACAGAGGATGTCACAGGAGGGCAAGAATGAAGGCAGGGATACCAAGGCCACACTTGTGGGAGCAAATCACTGATTCACAGCCCTGACTGTACATTAGAATCACCTGGTGACCTTTGAGTCACACCAGTGTCCCAGACCCAGCCCAGAACAATTCTCTTGCAAATTTTTGAGCCTCACCAGGTGACTCTAATATGCAGCAGAATTGGGAACCTTTGCAGTAAATGAAGTGGAAAAATGATGAGGCCTGTGGCAGTAGTCTTCATCCTTGTCATTACAGCAGAATGGCAGGACGAAGTGGTTTCAAAAGCTGTTTGAAGTTATCTCCATTTAAGGTAAGTTTTTGCCCATGTTCCACATCTTAGAAGCAGTGGTCACTATATTATTCATTCTGTAGCTTTGGGGAGACAGTGGTTTAGCAAGTAGTTTCCTCCACCATTGCAATGATGAGCTAGAGGAGGTCAGTCCAAACCTCTTAATGAGTAATTGGTCTTTTAAACTGCTTGACTCTCATAGGCAATTTTTTTATTTACTATTTTTGTGTAGGCTAGTCTCTTTAAGGCATAACTATCAGGAAAAACCCTTTTTTTTCCTTCTCTAAAAAGTGCATTTTTGAGGCTACCAAGTGGTATAACTAAAATAATACCCTCACAATGGTTTTGAATTCTGACTTAATAGCAATAGAATACTTTTATTGGACTCTATATATTCTTAGGTTAAGTTATTTTTATGACAATTATATGTTTTTGATGTTATCAGAAATTATTAATTTTAGAAGGACTTGTTATTTTATAACTTAAAAATATGTGATTTTTTCTAGATTATGTTTAGAATTATATTTTATATATTACATATATTTATATATTTATAAAATTAATATTTATTTGTATCTAAATATATATAAAAACTCAGACTATACTATTTTGGAATTTGTGGTAATTAAAACTTGTATACATAATTGAATAAAAGTGGAAATAATTTAACAATATGTTGCTCTTATGAAATGGGTAAAAGGAGGTGTAATTTAAGGTACCATTACAGCAACAGTAAAATGTTATAGGTCTTATTTCCTCCAAAATCACCAAATCATGTTGTGATGAGCATAATTTATCACAACGCACATATATAGAGAATGAAATATGGAAAAATTGAAAACTATAAGATCCTATATTTGTATAACTCTGAGTGAACCAAGGGCACTCTGGTAACATCTGCCGGTGTCAGGCTTCCTCCAGTCTGTGTCAGTTGGGTTGTAGGTAAGAAGAGGAGTGGGGGGCAAATGGCTCAAGATCTCAGGTCTAGTCAACTCGTTTTTTTTACTTTTGATGAGCAAAGGAGAAGGAAATTTGCTTTGGGGAGAGGAGGAATTCAGTACAAAATAAGTGATCATGAAGCAGTTAAAATCCTTGGGAATGGATGAGGGATGAAAATCCCAATATAAAGTGAAACTACTAAGCAACTTTCAAGAAAAGTAAAGCTACCACAGAATTGAGGATGATTATTTTTGTGACTCTTCTTTACTCTTGTAGAAGAGATATCTATAATAGAAAAGGTAAATTATCCCCCTGTTCTCTATAGTACAAAGTTTTTGGGATAATTCAAGCAATTCCTGAAGCAATGATTTTGACTATTTAGTATGTTTATATCATTTTTCTTCATTAAACTCCAAGCTCTTACATGAATATTAACTACCTGATTTACATGCCCATACCTGTCTGGATATTGTGAGTAAAGAGAGCACCAGCATGGACACTCCAGCAAACCAACTGTGACATTCATGATTTTAGTATAGCACCCTAGACTGAGACTCATGTCTTCATTCTTTGTGGTGAATCAATGGATATTTTTTAGGTTTGCAGTATTTTTTTTAAATTCAGTTACCCTAAGAATGAAACTGACTTCCGAATTGGTATAGTTTTTCATAACTTTAAGAATAGTGAATTTAAGTACTCGAATGCAATCAACTGAGTCATAAAGCAACACATGAGGAAAAAAGGTTACTACTAATATTTAACGTTTCTGAGCAATTTAAAATCTCTTTATAATATTGTTTACAGCCTAAAGTAGGTTTTGTATCTATTGATAAAACCCTTGTAATGTATATTTCAATATTATTCTTTGTGAGTCATTGAGTTACAATAGCTGGATCTAAGATGTCACTCTTTGAGCATTTATTATGGCTTCTGCTGTCAATTCAGAAGTACTTAACGTAGAAGGTTAAAATTCCTTGAAAATATTATAGGTATTTTATAGCAGGAAACAACCTTTGAGTATATCTCACATGAAATTTGAGATCTAAAATATATTTGGGGGTTTCATTTGAATAGGTTTTTGTAAATACCATTTGTTAACTTTTTGTATTCAGCAGATGGAAAGGGGTAAACAGAATATATCAACAAGAGGTAACAAGAACTCTTAGATGCCAGTTTATCCTTCCAGGCCCTCACTCAGCAACTCCCTGCTGGCAAAAGTTTGAGTATATAGAGCTTTTCATTATGTTCTGAACTCTGTCAAACTCATACTATATCAAATAGAACAAGTGTGTTCCTGAATTGAGAGATTTACATTGAGACAACTTCGCCTTTGGTCAATTCTAGTCTTTCTCATTCATAATATTTCTATCTTCTTGTCCCTGTGACTCTTGTGATGAGGCCAAAAAGTTTTACCATTCCATTTCTACAAGGTAATTTCAATTTCCAATTAGAAATCTAATTTGTAACATCAACAGTTCCTATAATTTATTAACACAACTCCAACTGCCTATCAATTCAGGGAATAAGTTAGCGGTGCGAAAATAGAAATGTTGAAGTTGTGGCTCTAACGGTGCTCATGTGATGCCTGGAGACAGCACCCAAAGTTTTTCTCCATAGCAGTTATCATCTGGGATTTTATAGTGTTTTTGTGAGGTTATTTGCTTAAAGTCTTTCTTTCCCACTGGTCTCTAGGAGGCCAGGTCCAGGCTTGCTTACTGCTGATAACCTGTGTCAAGCACTATGCCTGGTAGAGTATACTGTCAAAATAATTTATTTGTTGAAGGAACTAATAAATGGGCCGATAAATAAATGATAATGTGTACTGTAATAAATGTAGGTGGAAATGCTGAGAGCATAGGAAAAGAAAGGACAGGAGAGATTGAGAAGGCTTCACTAAAGAGTGAACACATTAAATTCAGCCTTGAAATGTTGAATTTGCCACACTGGAAAAGGTGGGTCAGAGCACTGGCTTCAAACTAGATTTAAACTCTGCCTGCCACGTACTAGCTCTGTAACCTGGAGTACAGCTTCCATTTCTTTAACTGGGGTAATAATAGTACCCGTCATAAGAGTGTAGTAAGGATTAAATGAGATCACACATGTAATCTTGCACCAAGTAGCACACATGTAATCTTGCTTAGTACCAAGTCTGACACAAGTTCTCAACACGTGCTAGAAATTGTTATGCTTGTTATCATTATGAGGCAAAGGGAAGCAGAATGAGCAACCCTGGATTACCGGGAAGGGGATGGAGGAGTCAGAAAGAACAGAGGTGGAATAACGATTGGGTGACTGATGGTGAGAGTAAAGGAGCGAGGAAATGGACTGTACCTGGAGGAAGAAGAGCAGGTTTGGGGAGTGGAAAACTGATTCAGTTTGAAACATGTCGATAATGTTAAGTTTGAAGACCCTTTGGGGCACAAAGAGGAGATGTCCAGGAAACATGGATTCTATGCTCAGAAGTGATCTGATGGCAATCAATATTTGAGGGGGACAGTTATTGAGATCACAGAAATGAAAAAAAAAATGCCTT